CCCGCCCCCTGGTGGGCTGAGCTGGCCACACACACACACACACACACACACACACACACACAAATAAAATTAAAAAAAAATATCAATTATGTAAAATTAAATGGTCAAAATATTAAAGCTGTGGCTTCCTTATTAATGAATTAAACAGGCAGGCCTTTTTAAGCACTAAACTCTTATATATAGCTAATACTGCTGTGATTAGTTTCCTATGTATATTATTTCTTCCCCTGGTGCTAGAGATTGGATCCAGGGAGCAGTAGCGTTCACCCCAGCCCTACTTTGAGACAGACTCCGAGTTGCCCAAGGTCTCTAACTCCAGATCATCTTGTCTAGCTTCTCCAGTGGTTATACCTGTTCCTCCAGTTTTAGCTAAGGAAGTGAAAATTTCATATTAGTGTTATTGATAGTTAAGGGACAGTCTTCCCATTCAACTTGTGGTCTTCTGGTTTAGAGAGTGTTGCTTTTGTTCTTAGTGTCCATAGATGTTTCACTCTACTGCCATGTTTTCTAGTTTGACTTTGCTGTGAATGTGGCACTCTGACTTTCTATTATCTCTAGTTATTATCGCTAATTAGTTTTATCTCTAACTAGTTTTAGTTTATTTGAGCTGTAAAACTTCTTGAACTGAGAGCTCAGTTTCCTAAAATTTTAACATAACCAACCAGGAGTTTTTAAAAAGCTAAGGGCTGGGCTGGTGAGATGGCTCAGTGGTCTAAAGCACCTACCTAGAACAAGCTAAGCAAAGCACAGGGACCGCGGTTCAATTTCCCAGCACCACATGCCAGCCAGCCCCGCCCCCTGGTGGGCTGAGCTGGCCACACACACACACACACACACACACACACACACACACACACATAAATAAATAAAAAAAAAAAAAAAAAAAAAAATTAAAAAAAAAAAAAAAAAAAAGCTAAGGGCTCATCTGAAGATAGTGGGATGTTACCTCAGACTCCCAGGGCAAGGAGTAAAATTCCAGAAAGAGCATATTATGAGGGAAGTGGTTTTGTCTATTCTGGGAATGAAATATTAATATTTTCAGTTAGAAAGTAATTTTACAGTTTATATACTTTAAAGAATGTGAAAAGTGATATCTGATACCTAGGTTTCAAAAGCATGTACATGTATTTAAAACAGTATAGTTAAAAAAGCCATTGAAATGCAGCATCCGACTTTATGACTGCAACCCCGTGTGGTGTTACTTACCTTTGCGTAGTGGATGTGTAAACTGAGGTGTGGTTACTTACTTGGATGTGAACAGTAACAACCGTGCATCTGGGGAATGTTGCTCTTGCAAATAAACCTAATCATTTTGTTAGGCATTTTATTGTTCTTAGGGCTAAACACATAGATTTAGTAAAATAGCTTTTTTATGTTTTATGGAATCCTTAATTATATTTTCTAAAATGTTGTTGAAACATCTTAAAAAAAATTCATTGTAGCTGGGCATGGTGGCACACGCCTGTAATCCCAGCATTCAGGGGAAGGCTGAGGCAGGAGGATCGTTGCAAGTTTGAGACAGCCTGTGCTACAAAGAGAGCTCAAGGCCAGCCTGAACTGCATCGTGAGACACGGTCTCAAAAAAAACAGAAAAGAAAAACTGATTGTGGAAGTTTGTTATCCATACTTGCATAACCGTGAACAGCACATCTCTTACCAGTTGAGTAATTTTGCCCTGGTTGATTTGAGATGAGGATACTTTGGACTTTGATAAAGGGGTCAATTGTTTGATCACTTTCTTTTCAGTTTCCAGAACGACTACACAGGACAATCACTTGGTAGAGTATCCATAAATGAAATGCTTGTAGTTGTTAGTGATGAAAACAAACACAGGAATTTGATTATCACAGAAGGTAGCATATATAACAGCATAAATGTTAGACAGTGAATACATTTTTATTAATAAATGAGCTTTTTTTTTTTTTTTTTTTGCGGAACCGGGGATTGCTCTCAGGCCCTTGCGCTTGCCAGGGAAGCGCTTATTCCACTGAGCTGTTTCCCCGGCCCTAAGTGAGCTAATTGATCATGATTTATGCTATGAAGAATGCATAATGTATATGAAAGAAGAAATGTGGGTGAAAATGTGCGGCTTTCAGGATGAGGGAGTGAGTAAAAATAATGGGCGAGCCTGAGGAGAAGTGTGTGCACTTGCTCTTAGTAAGATTCATGCTGGATCAGAGTTTACCGAGAAAATTTGCAGCAATTATCGAAAATCAAATGGGTTTACTGTACATAATGCTTCTGCAGTATTTATTGCTACTTCTTAGAATTTTTATGGTAATTTGCCAGACGCAGTGTTTGCTTAGTGCCACTGGAGGAGTGCAGACGTTTGTGCTGTGGTTGCAGAGGAATGAGCAGCCATGTATGAGGGTATGTCAGAAGCAGCGAGATTGTCTGCATCTGGAAGTACATGCAGGACCTACATGATCAGAAGGGAAGGCGGTGCCAGGCAAGTGGGATGCACTACGAGAGTAGAGAGGAGGTTTACAAGCCAGTAGTTTGTATGAGAGAAGTGACGTGTGTCAGGTAGGTAACAAAGGGGTCAGATGTAGAAACTTGTTTTATTTTAAAATGTATTTAATACAGGGTCTACAGGGTCTCACTGTATAGATCAGACTTCTAGTGATCCTCCTGTTTGCAGCCTCCCAACTGCTGGGATTACAGCTGTGTGCCACCATGCCCAGTTTCAGTCACAGGTCTCAGTGCACCCCTGGGGCATGGCTGGGCACAGCACCACACCGTGGATCAAACCCCAGTCCCTGCGTCTGCATAAGGAAGCACTTTAATCTACTGAGATATCTGGCTGGCCCAGATGTAGAAACACTTGAATACCTGGAAGGGATTGGGATTTTGTTCTGAAGGCCTTCAAATTGGGGTGCACATTCTCATGAGGGATTAGTTTGGTGGGATGTATATGCACACAGGACAAGGAGCATAACTCTTTTAGAAGATTTTGGAGAAAACAATTATTTTTACATTGAAGTAGATTTATGGAGTTTAAATCATAGTTCATAGCAATTTTAAGACAAGATCATAAGATTTAACATAAGGCCGTAGTAAGATTCTAGAAGAAATTTATGCTTAGAACAAGCCATTTTATCCTACAACTTCAGATCCCTGCAGGGTATGTTTTTATCCTCAGGTGTTATATTTTTTCAGTAAATAAATTTGAAAGATGGAGGTCAAAGCAGTATGCCATTCAGAGAGATGCATAACAGTAGCAGGCTGGGAGTAGACTATTTAATCTGAAACTCAGGTTAAAGGTAACCCTTGAATTTAAGTTATGAAGCCTCAAAATATTACAGCTATATTAGTATGATCTCCAACTGCCTAACCAGTGTAGTGCTAAAGTAGGATTGTTTAGATTTCAATTCATCTGTAAAGCTAAAGGCATAAATGTGAAATATTTAATGTAAGTCTGAAAAGGTGAACTGTGACTCTTCATTTCTCACATTAGCCTGACTTTCTATATTGGATCAATATATTATATTTAGGTGATATTGAAAATGGTAGCCTACTTAATTTAAATGTTAAATTTTAAATTACAAGGTTTACATCAAAACCAGCATTTCACATGTGCACTTTTTAAAAGGCATAATAAGGGAATGGGCCAGGGAGATAGCTCAGTGGAATAAGTGCTTGCCTGGCAAGCACAAGGTCCTGACTTCGATCCCTGGTACTAGAAAAAAAAAAACAAACCAAAAAATGTTATATTCTAGAGCCAGGGAGATAGCTTGGTGGTCTAAGCACCTGCCTGGCAAGCGCAAAGGACCTGGATTCAATCCCTGGTACCTTATGCCAAGCTGGCCCCATGCTGAACTAGCCAATGAAACCAGGCGTAGTGGCGCACACCTGTAATCTCAGCACAGGGGAAGCTGAGACAGGATCACTACAGTCTGAGCTACTAAATAAATAAATAAAAGATTAAAAAATTATTGGTTTACATAATATTGTGTTAAAATATATAAAACACATATGGTATAGATGTTAACAAATAAGTTAAAATACAGTAATACCTGACACTACAGTGAGTGTGACTTCATAATATCTACTGCACTTGTAAAAAAACACTGAGCCTATTTTAATGCAGTACTTCATCCTGCCTCAGTTGGCATTATAATAAACCATATCAAACATTTACCCCAAATTATTTTGTAGAAAATGAGCATTAGTTTTAAAATTTGTATTGCAGATTTCTGCATGTACTCTGAACCTTCTGAATTTTTGTCTTGAAATTAATATTGCATCTATTATCCATCAATAATCATCCAACAAATATAAAATTACCCATCTTTTATGTTTACTCAAATTTAGAATTTTAATAAAACTAGTTCTTTTTTAAAATGGAAGTTGTTAAAATTAGCCCATATTTTTATGATGAAAATCTTTTTAAGTTTTCTTTCTTTTTTGTATTTTTTTTTAGGGAAAGAGCTACAGAGTGTTCAGGGTCTCACTACCAGGTTTGACTCATAGTGATCCACCTCTTTACAGCCTCCCAAGGGCTGGGATTGCAGGCTGCGCCACCATGCCCAGTCTCGTCTCAGCACGCCCTGGGGGTGGGGCTGGCATTGCAGGCCCAGGGATTGAACCCCCAGCCCCTGCGCCTGCTTGCAGGTGCTTTAATCCACTGAGTTATTTTCTTGGCCCCCAAGTTTTCTTGTTTTAAAAAGTTGCTCAAAAATTCACCCATTGGGCTGGGGAGATAGCTCAGCCGCATAAGCATCTGTCTCACAAATGCAAGGTCCTGTGTTCTATCTCCAGTACTGGAGAAAAACATTAAAAATTCACCCATTAACTATAATTTAGATTGTGACCATCTAAAATTTATTGCTATATAACAAAATATATGGACAAATGATATAGAAATTTTGATTGAGAAAGGTATGTGATATTCTTTGAGTCAATATGTTGATATTTAATCTTAAATTGATAAACTTTAAAATTAAAAATTTATTTCTTAAACCTACCATCAGAGATTAAATACCGATTATTAAACCACAGAAATTTGAAATGAGTTTAATATTTAATTTATTGTTGTTGAATTTTCCTCAGTTCATTCAATGCTTTCTACATTTTTTGGATGAATCAACATTTTGGTTGATTTAATAGAGTATAGCTTTCCATTTTGAGACCTCCACCATATTCCCCTCCTCTTCTCTGCCTTAGATTTTGCTCTTGGTTTGTTGTATTTGCCGTGTAGGTTGTTTTCATCACATACATCACGCCACCACCAGCCGCCTAAGGAACAAGCAGTTCAGTAAATACAAAGTCCCTTTGCAGGTGCTGCTGCTCTCTTTCTCTGTGAATACTGCATTTCTTTTGAACAGGACAGTTTTGTAGATTCATGTATCCCAATTTTAAGTAATTTGTACAACTTTTGTTTATACTCCCCCAAAAAATATCTGAGGACTAGAGCCAAAATACTTAGACTACAATAACACTTTTAAAAAATAATTGCTAACAGATTTTTATAGAGAAAATGCTTAGTTGAGGTTAGGATTTGAAAGATTGGATTACAAAGTTGCCTAAAACTGTGGAAAGACATTTTGAAGATGTGAAAACAAAGTTTTGGCAGTGGAAGAGGGTACCTGAATAGTGTTCCGAGCAGTTCAGGTGTCCTGCTCTGTGACCCCACGTGGAAAACACCAAGTCGGTGTGTTCTGGGAACACCTTGGGGCCATTGCCTGTCATCTCAGCCAGGTGCAGCATGTAGTTGGTATCATGGTTTCCCAAGTGAAAAGAATATTCAACATGATATTTGTTGTCTTTCCAGTCTTCCAGTTCAATTCGTAAAGTGTAATTTGATTGCTTCACTATGGAATATATCTTCTCTAGACCCAGCCAAAATTCTCCTGAAAAGAAGTTTTTACAGTCTGTGGGTTAACTACGGAGTAAGCCCTGAGAATATTTTTAGAGTGTTTTCTATTTGTGTAGGTAAATTGATTGCTTTAGCCTTGAATCCTTGGTTATTTTAATAATCTTTTAAAGTTTTAAAACAATTTTACTGATGCTAGCTTATGTACAGTGTTGAAATAGTAATAGACTTATTTAAAGACTAATTAGCATTTCTAAAATGGACATTACAAGGTGCCTACATTCAACACATATTAGACTATTACAGATCTTTTTAGTCATTTGTAGAATGTCACTTCTTAATACTTAACTATATACCAACTTTACTATCAGCTATAGATGGCTAGTACTATGTGGTAAGAGATTTGTGAAGTATTCCCAGATTTAGAGATAGTAATGCCATTTTTCTCAAATGTAAACATGGCCATTGGTATTTGCTTTATAAATATATTTTCTTCATAGAGAAGGAAGTACATAATTGTTTTTAAATATTCAATTTAAATGCTTGATTCTTAATAACTTTTCTCTATAAAATTAAAATTAGCTTTACTTGGAATTAAAAACATAAGGACAGATACATCATTCTTTATCATAATCCTTATTAAAGTATTTAATGAAAAAAGTATTTGTATTTCCTTACTGTTATTTAGTTAGTTGGATTCTCTGTGTAAAGATTGTAAATATAAATACAAATGGCTTTTCCATCAAAAGGAGGTAAACACTCTGAACTTAACTGTCAGTCTGTCTGTAGTTGTTGGATTTCATGCCCTCTTAGAAAAAGAGTTGGAAAAAAAAGAAAAAAAGAAAAAGAGTTGGAGGGCTGGGGACATAGCTCCTCAGTCTAAGCACAGTTCAAACCCTGGTGTTGCGTGCTCTGCCTGAGCTGCCCTGAGCAAGCCAGGCCAGCCACCGAGACCAAGCGTGGTAGCGCACACTTGGAATCCCAGAGCGGGGCAGGTTGAGACAGGAGGATCATCACGAGTCTGAACCTGAGTCTGAACCGTAAGGAGACCCTGTATCCAGTCAGTCAGTCTATCAGAGATCTTTTAAAAGAAACTTGAAAAAGAGTTGGAGCCACAGAAATCCCTGGCTATACCAACTAGTTAGGAATTTAACTGGATTTTGTGTATAAAACTTTTATGTGGTTAAAACTTACAGAGTGTTTAGTAATTTGATGTAATAATTGATGTTTTCTATTTTATAAGTGAATATAAAATTCACTTGTGTATCATTCATAGATGTTTATAATGTGCCTTTTGGATTTTAAACATCTGTTGATTTACTTGCTTTACATTGTTTGGTGATCAAAGTAAAATAATGTACATTGAGTTTACTAACCGTTTTAACTACATTCTGTAGTATACATTTATAAGATTTAAATATTTGGAGTTTAAAGTTTTATTATATATACACACACATATATGTATGTATTGCTGTCCTCTCCCCTGACTTTCACCTTGTTATTTTTACTGCGACTGGCCCCAGGACCCCGCACGTGCTAGATGAGTGCTCTGCAGCTGAGCTACAGCTCTTACTCCTTTTCTGTTTTCAATGGTTTTGGTTCAGGGTCTCACCAAGCAGCTTGCACTCACAGTGCTCCTCCTGTTTTCAGCCTCCCCAGTGCAGGGATTGCAGGTGCACCTCCACGCCCTGTCTCAGTAGCTGGCGCAGCACGTGGTGCTGGAGTCCAAGCCTGGTCCCCGCACTTGCCCAGACAGGCACCTAGTCGGCTGAGATGTCTTGCCGGCTCTTACTCCTAACTTTTAATTATTAGATGTTTAAAATATTAGTAAGAGGGCTGGGGAGATAGCTCAGTAGAATAAGCACTTGCCTAGCAAGCACAGGGTCCTGAGTTCAATCCCTGGTACCGAAAAAAAATAAACTATTAGTAAGAATACAGTAACTGACAATACCAATGATTGTCTTTGCAATTCATTCATGGTGTGGCACTTAACACATATTGAAGCATGTAGTACTTAATCAGAATTTTCTTTAATTATAATTTAAGTCATTGAATTGTGGTAAGTATAATTCAGATAGTGATTGTGATGTTATTACTAAGAAATTTGTGTCTGTTAATACATCTTACAGAGCTTGGAGCTGTTTATTGTTCATTGTTGCTTTCCCAATGTGCAGTTCATAATAGGCTTTCAATAAATATTTTTTTTTATTTTTTTATTTTTTTAAATTTTATTTGTGTGTGTGTGTGTGTGTGTGTGTGTGGCCGGCTCAGCCCACCGGGGGCGGGGCTGGCTGGCATGTGGTGCTGGGGGATCGAACCGCGGCCCCTGTGCTTTGCCAAGCTTGTTCCAAGTAGGTGCTTTAGACCACTGAGCCATCTCGCCAGCCCCTCAATAAATATTTTTAAATTAGCAAATGAATAATTAAATGAAGGCGCCTTACCATCAAGCTTCCCAAAACCATATTTGTAGTTCTCCCAAGATTCATTGAAATTTTGTGATCCATCTGTTCGGTGTTGAATTGATGTCCATGAACTGCCTGAATATAGTGAATGAAATCATGTATTTTTAGAAGATGAGTGTTGGCAGATGTTGAAAAGTAGGTCTGGTTTTAATTGGTAGTTTTACAAAGTGATTTGATTTTTTAGTGTGGTAATGTATGCTCAGTGAACAATAATATGCTTTAGTATTTATTAGGATCCTAAACAGTTAACTGAGAGGCAAATAATCAATGTTTCTTAATAGATTTACTGATAATGGTCACTACAGGTTATTTTATACAAGAAATAGAGAATACTGAATAAATACATAGATGAGCAATATAAATGTAAGTATTAGAATTATATGAATGCTTATCCATATTTCAGAAGGGATCTGTTCAAAATAAAGACAACTGGGTTAGCCTTGCTAATACTAGGTAACACATAGCTTGAACTCAGCACCGTCCATTTTCCCCACGGGCAGATTTACCTGACATAACGTCACAGTAGACATTAAACGCTGGAGAGTTGCTGGGTCTAATGGCGTATGTGCCACTTCTGTGTTCACTTCTCTTATAAATGGTGGCACAGTCAGCAGGAAAGTCTAGAGTCACAAAACGTTTGTATATACAGTTAGTAATACGGGTGTCTTTGCAGCTGGAGGCTTTCTGTGACATTTAATGGAGTTGATAATGCAGCTTTTTTCAGTGATGTTTATGATAACTCATTTTTGTTAGACAACAGACCATATAAACAACATAAAAGTAGTGTTACGGGGCCGGGGAGACGGCTCAGTAGAACAAGTGCTTGCCTGGCAAGTGCAGGGGCCCGAGTCCAATTCCCGGTTCTGGGGGAGAAAAGAAAGTATTTGAGACTCAGGTTATTTTGGGGCCGGGGAGATGGCTCAGTAGAATAGTAAGTGCTTCCCTGACAAGCGCAAGGGTCTGAGTTCAATTCCCGGTTCCAGGTTCCACCGGAGGAGGAGGAGGGGGAGGGGGAGGGAGAGGGGGAGGAGGAGGAGGAAAGAAAGAAAGAAAGAAAGAAAGAAAGAAAGAAAGAAAGAAAGAAAGAAAGAAAAGAACTAAGTGGCAGAGATACATATGAAACATACTACTGTGATGAATTCATGCCTGTTGTAGGTGGTGAGCAGAATTATTTGGAAAGAGTGAACATACATGGAAGAAAAAAGTAACATGGACCTTTTTCTGTATGAATTACATAAAAAATAAGTGTTTTGATAATATATCACATTGTTATAGTTTGACTGGGAATGAAAACGTTATTCCTGCAACATCTGCTTTTCTTTTGAAAATTTCCAAGAAAAGTGGGAATAATTACTAAAGGAACACCATGACCTTTGGATCTGTATTCATTAATTGGTAACATTTTGCCACATTTGCAGGCACATACATGTGCACATGTGTTTTATTTGTGCTGTTTGAAATCAGTTTCCAAATATCATTTCCTTTAATCGCTTAAATATTTCAGCATATATCTCTTAAACATGAATTATTTTCCATAGCTACAAGATTGTTATCACATGTAGAAAAGTAGTAATCATTCCATATTTTCTGAGGTAAAGTCCATATGTATATTCCACTGATTGTCTTAGCAGTATCTCGAAAAGGTTTAAAAACAGCCCAGGATTCAGTTTAAATTGACTTACTGTAATCAGTGGATGTACCTTTTTATTCTCTTTTTAGTCAACATCAGATTCTAAAATAGAGAATTTGATTAAGCCTTCCAAAAGGAAACCCACCAAGTTGTCTTACCATCTTGTTCTACATTTTTTGTTTTATTCAGCTGAAGAATGGGGGTAGTTCTTGGTGTTCTTGGTTTAGAAGAAAGAGAATTTTCTGTGAGTTCTTGGATGCCAGTCCTTCTGAGCTAATAAGAGAATATAAGTCTACTTTTAATAAATGGTACTGAATATGCATATAATTTAGAGATGTCTAAATAAGGATATCAGAAGCATGTTTATTTGTCTTGTCTTTCAGTTCATAATACTATTGCCTTTGATGTTAAGAGGATTAAACAGTACTACCCAGATTTTTTACAAATGATCTGTTCTCAAAAATATTTAATCAGACATTAATGAGTTAAAAATCAAGAGAAGGTAAAATTTATTGGGGGGGGGAAACAGAAACAAAAACAACCAACCAGTCAGAAAAAGAATATGACCAAAAGTTCTGCTTGAAACATTTTGATATATAATTCTCTCTTTACATGAATAGAATTTCCTCAGGATTCTGTTTAACATGGGCAGATTTTGGATTTTCTAATTCTCAGTCATAGGTCTTACTGATTTTCAGGCCTGCCATGAAGATAGTACATAATTCAACAAGGCTACTTTCTTGATAGTTTTTAAGATGAGAATGTATCTGTAGATATGGGCAGGTTGGCAGGATTTAAAGTTTGGGTTTATATTTGATTACGAGATAGCTTTTTCTTACTAATAGTGACAAAGGCAGAATATATAATATGTGGCATTACTATTGTTGTTTTTGGAGTGGGACAGAGATGGAAGCCACAACCTGCATGTTCAGCAGGCACTCCTTCCATTGATCTGGAGCCCCAGCCCTGTTGCTAGTTTTTGATGCTGGCGTATGTGGTATGTTAACGTGTATGGATCCTTGTAAAATTCACTTACTTGGTATTTGTCTTTTCTACTAAGTAACTGCGTGATCGTAAAGCCACTTAACTTACTTGAGTTTTGGTTTTATAATTTATAGATGGTCATGAGCTTCGTTTAACTCAAAAATGTATTGTTTTGATTTCTTCTTAGTCTCCCTCATCCTAACCCAGGGAGCCTAAGAAGGTACTTGAAGCTAAAGAGAATGTCAGCCCTCTACATATTATTCCTTTTCTATATGTACCTCTGTGTGTTATGGTTTAATTTGTAATGTAAGTATGAGTTAATAATGATAATAAGCATAACTAATAGAAAAAGAATAATTGTAATCTCGTATAATAAAAGTCATGTTAGTATCCTTTGACAATCCAGACAAATATTAATGTTTAGTATTTTTTTATTCACTGGTCACATGGACAATATGGAAAGTGAGACTACAGAGAAGGAGGGGACTTTACATTTTATTCTTTTTTTTTTACATTTTATTCTTAAGTAAAATGTACATGTGGTGTAACGCCACTTTGGTTTTGTGAGCAAGATGATTGAGTCACAATAAAAGATGTAATAAAAAATAATGTAGAAAGCTAACATACCAACATCTTGGCCCTAGCCTTCCAAGGTCAATTAAGACTCAGGACATAGGAGAACTTGTACTGTAACGTCATGTACCTTGGTAGTGTCCCAAATTTTCTGATCAAGAAGATTATGGGGCCAAAGAGGAAAGTGATCGATGACGTAGAGTGGGCCTAAGGAGAGTCACATGGAG